TCTTTAGGCTCTTCCCAAAGGGGGACATTATTCTTATCCACAGTAGAATTGTAATTGTAAATGGGCTAATTTATCTATGTCATGCTCATAACTGTGCCGGAATTGCAACAGGGAACTGCTGCTTTTTTTTTCCTAATCCTGTCTATCGTCATTTTTCCTCTACTTCTTGTGTATGTTTGTCACACTCTTGTGACCCACTATTTCCGGGGTGCCTTGATAGTTGAAGCAGACTTTGTGCTGTTGAAGCTAGAGAGGTGAGCAGAGTAAACCCGATTCCCTGTAAGGACTTCTCTGTTGACATCCACCCCTTGGTGCTCATATGGCCTTTTGCAGTTGCAAGCGCCGTAAAACATTACTAAAACTAAAAACCATGGAGCTGTTGAGGACTTGAGCCTATAGCATGCAAAGATGAAAACTTTTGTCCCCCCCCCCTCCCCCTTCCACACAGCGCCGGCTGTGTGTTTGTGCGTGCTAGGAGAAGTGTGTGTGCTGAGAGAGGAGGGGGGGGGGGGGGTTAGTACACTGAGACTGAGCCCCAAAATCAAAAAAGATGCACACGGTAACCCTCAATGTGTTTTTTTTAATGAAGCTGTTGTTTTTTTTATATTTTATTTTCGTACATATATATATATATATATATATATCATGTGTATGTAGATCAGCAAGATGGTCAAAGCAGCTGAAGAATACCCCCCCCACCCCCGGGGGGCGGTGCTACTGACTGAAGTGTCTTTAGGCCATTCCCAAAGGGGGGGGGGACATATCTCGTTTAAGCACAGTAGAATTGTAAATCGGCTGACTCATGTCACGCTCATAACTGTGCCTGATCTACAACAGGGAACTGCTGCTTTTTCTTTCCTGATCCTTACTATTATCATTTTCCTCTACTTCTTTTGTATGTTTGTCACTCTCTTGTGACCTGCTATTTTGGGGTACCTTGATAGTCGAAGCAGACCTTGTGTTGTTGAAGCTAGAGAGGTGAGTAGAGTAAGTCTGATTCCCTGTAAAGACTTCTCTGTTGACACCCACCCCTTGGCGCTCATATGACCGTATGCAGTTGCAAGCGCCGTAAAACCCTCTACTATAAAAAAAAAAAGCTGAAGAATGATCTATGTACCGGTATGTATCTCATGATGAGCTGGAAAGAAGTGTCATTTGAAGTTTTCTTTCTTTCTTGTAAGGTAGTAAGACGTAAATTGTCTATAGTTTCAGTTTTGTTGTGTCATTACTTGGTATATTAAAGTCCTTGTATGTTCTCTCAATCTGACTTCATTTGTTTGTTGTGTCATTACTTGGTATATGAAAGTCCTTGTATGTTCTCTCAATCTGACTTCATTTGTTTGTTGTGTCATTACTTGGTATATTAAAGTCCTTGTATGTTCTCTCAATCTGACTTCATTTGTTTGTTGTGTCATTACTTGGTATATGAAAGTCCTTGTATGTTCTCTCAGTCTGACTTCATTTGTTTGTTGTGTCATTACTTGGTATATTAAAGTCCTTGTATGTTCTCTCAATCTGACTTCATTTGTTTGTTGTGCTTTCTAGAGATGTTTGTGTGGGTGGTTGGCGGGTGCTCTGGTGTGGTTTGCTCCTTCTTTCCTACCAAACATCTATCGTCCTTATCTCCCCTCCTTTTTTGTTTTTGTTACTCTCTTGTACTTGTGACACATAATCTATTCTTGGGCACTTATATGACCTTATTGTGTAGCAAGTGCCGTAAAACTCTTACTAAAACTAAAAGTGTTCCTAGAGATGTTTGCTACTTGTTGTGGTTCCTAAGGATGTTTGTTTTTTGTGGTTCCACTGACTGACTGTAGTGTCTTTAGGCCATTCCTAAAGGGGGGGGGGGGCATATCTCGTTCATGCCCAGTAGAAATGTAAATTTGGCTGATTCATCAATGTCACACTCATGACTGTGCCTGATCTGCAACAGGGAACTGCTGCCTTTTCTTTCCTAATCCTTACTATTTTCATTTTCCTCAACTTCATTTGTATGTTTGTCACACTCTTGTGACCCGTTATTTCCGGGGTGCCTTGATAGTCGAAGCAGACTTTGTGCTGTTGAATCTAGAGAGGTGAGCAGAGTAAGTCTGATTCCTTATAAGGACTTCTCTGTTGACATCCACCCCTTGGCACTCATATGACCTTATGCAGTTGCGAGCGCCGTAAAACCCTCTACTGTAACTAAACTAGTCAACAAAAATTAAGGAACATTTGAGAAAAAGTGTATAACTTCGAAAGCAAACTTCAACACGCAATGGAATTTGGTA